GTCACACTGGGGCAGGGGAGAAGGGGAGGAGAAAAGTGTACCTTGTACCTTGCCACACCATTTGCCATCCTGATACAATACACATTAATTACCTCAAGAATGTGGATCACAGAGCTACAGTAAAATAATGAGGAAGTCGTGAATTTCCATATAATTTATTTGTTTCTAATACAGTTGATTTAAGTATAAGTTTTAAGGGTAGCAAAATCCCCCAAAAGTTGACAGTGGGCTCTTCTAATTGAGGAGCTCCCAGCTCTCACATACTACTGTCTGGGGAGGTGGAAATGACATCCCAGTGGCAGAGCTGCGACCAGAACCCAGGGTCCTTTGGTCCCGATTGCAGTGCCCTTGAAGAATTTCTGTGCAATGAAACTGCTGCCAGACGCTGCTCCACCCGTGGCAGGTCCCTTCTGTGCCCAGCACTGGCCTTATCACTGCCTCCACCAAGTCCCGACTGTGACATACCTTGAGCCCGGCAGCCTCCACCGCAAAGGAACACAGCAACCCTTTGTTCAGAGCTATTTTCCTGTCAGCCTTGGAGTTGCCCAAGAGATTTGCATGTGAATGAGCCAGTGGCTCTGAAGTCCCCGAAGGGGTGGGATGGAGGAGTCTGAGCCATTCACCAGCTGAAGAGAGTGTAAATCCTCCTTGGCCTTCCTTCCCAGTCACAGTTCCCAGACTCTTCCCCGCCCAGCCCCTCTGTACCCCTACTCCCGCTGAGACGGTGGGCACCACTGGTTTCCCACCTGCGGGATGCCCGCTTCCCAGGCTCTGGGCAGGACCCCTCCCTACCAGCTCTTTCTTCTCTCGCTGCCCCTGCTGCCCTTTTCTGTCCAGCCCTCCCTGAGAGGGGGCCATTTTTCCTGGCAGCAGTGGGAATCCTGGACTCTCAGGACCTGAGAGCTCTTTCTCAGGCCCCCTCATTCTTTATGGTGTCTCAATTGTGCATGTACACAATACCTTCTTAGGGGCTCACCCAGCTCTATTGGGGGGCTTTTACTCTGATTAACAAATACCAAATAAGAACAATGTCCTGGAAAGAGCAGTACAACTGGGCCCTCGTCTTGGCTCTGCCATGTGACTTTGAATGAGTCTTAGTTTCTCCACCAAGAAAGATTTGAAGGCCTTGAGTGCTCTTTGCAGCTCTGATCTTCTGTAGTTTGATTCCAACTATTGAACCAGGTCTGGGAGTCAAGATATGAGGGGTTTTTTTTTTTTCTCCCAGGCTCTGTGGCCTTGGAGAAGTCACATCACCTCTCTGGGCTCAGAATTACAATGTTTGCTTGAAGTGCATTTATTATATGACTGTTATTAGGAGCAAATAAAATAGTGAAGGTGAAAATGTTCCATTAACTAGAAAGAAGGAGGCATTATGATATTATGAGCATCCATCATCATTATTATTATTTATTCATTGTGATCAAATGACTTGGGCCAGGATTGCAGCTTCAACAGCCAGCACCTCTTATCTAAGCTCAACTGCAGTCTCAGATCTGTTAGTTTTACTTACATGGCTTTCAAGAGCCTCTGAAATGTAGCTCAACAAACAACATACAGCCAAGTGTGGTGGTGCACATTATAATCCCAGCAGCTTGGGAGGCTGAGGCAGGAGGATTGCAAGTTCAAAACAAGTCTCCACAGTTTAGCAAGGCCCTAAGCAACTTAGTGAGACCCTGTCTCAAAGTAAAATACAAAAAACGGGCTGGGGATGTGGCTCAGTCATTCAGTGCCCTCTGGTTCATTTCCGGGCACCCCTCCCCTCTGCAAGAAAACCCCAACACATATCAGGTGCATCTTTTTTTTTTCCTAGACCCAAATTCTTGCCTGGTATCTGATACTTTAAATTTCCTCCTACCTATGCTCTATAACTGAAATTTGAGGCTACCTGGCAAATAGCAAGATTGAGCCAATCAATCTTTGGCCTCAATTCCTAGGATCCCCTGGTGGACTTTTAGGGAAGGTAAGCTCAGGAAAACAGAGTATTCATCTGTGAGCAGGAGTCCTGTGCCCAGGGCTACTATTAGTCTACATTCACACATCTAGAAAAATTATTGGAAGCACAGGAAATTAAAGAGAGAGATTCCTAAACACTAAACTAGCCTTCTGTGGACAAAAGCCTTCAGAGATCTCTTCATTACTCTGGTCATCTCTTATACAAAAAAAAAAATACTTTCCCTTGCCATCCATTGCCGGAATCATTGGGAAGCTTTGCAAAGTGCAAGGAGTCAAGCAGACCTAAAGAGCCATCTGCCACATGAGGAGGCTGGCTGGGAGGTTTCTCTACGTTCCCTTCCAGTGCTGATGGCTTCAGTAAGATTAGTAATGAAGAAGTGAAATCTAGAAAGTGGTACATCCAGGAAGAATTTGGATCTCTAAATGAGACACACAAAGTTATCCAGGCCCCACTAGCTGGGAGCCCAGAGCGGGTCCTTCCTGTGGCTCGATCTCAGCAGTCCTTTTCATACTGATTTTCTGAGTGCTAACTACGTTCCAGCATTTCACATGTACTAACGCATGACATATGCACAACAGTCCCGTGACACAAATTCCACTATTTTCACTATTTGAGAAAACCTATATACAGAGTATACTATTTTCTTAACAACCATAACCACCACAATCCAAGTGTCTTAAAACAGCAAGAACTTATTCTTATGTAGTTCTAGAGGCTGGAACTCTGGGATCAGGGTGTCAGCAGGGCCCTCTTCTCTCTGAAGGTACTAGGGGGAAATTCTTGCCTCTTCTGGCTTTCTGCAGGTTGTAGGCCATCCTTGGCATTTTTTAGCTCATGGCAGCCAAACTCCAATCTCTGCCTCTGTCTTTGCATGACTGAATTTCCCTCTGTGTGTTTCTATGTGGCAATTTTTGTCTTTTTTGTAGGGACGCCAGTCATTGGGTCAAGGCCCACCCTGCCTCTATGTGGTGTCATCTTGGCTAGATTATGTCCACAGAAGGAAACTTCCATAAAGTTCACATTCAGAGACACCAGGATTAGACTTCAACATCTTTTGGAAGACACAATTCTCTCTGTGACATAGAGAGTATAAGTGCTTTTCCAACCTCTAATAGTTGGCAAAGATCATGTGCAACCCATATGAAAACAGGGTACCACATGATCCAGTATCAATAAGGGGCTACAGCCTAAGAAGTAGAAAACTTTAAAAATTAAAAGCAATTCACAGTTGCACTCACCTTCTTGTGTAACAAAGCAAAGCAGCGGTGTTCTCATTGCAAACTTTCTTAAGTATCCAATATCAGTCCTGTGTGTGTGTGTGTGTGTGTGTGTGTCTGTCTGTCTATCCTCTCTCTCACCCCACCCTTCCCAGAGACTTCCCATGAAGACTTCCCAAAGTTTTCATGATCTCCAGACTAAGAAATTCTTTTTTCTTTCCTAATCTGCAGTGGTTTGGATATAAAGTACACTCTGAATACTTGAAAGTGTGGTTCCCAAGACAGCCATGTTCAGAGGTGGGGATCTGGGGAAATGACAGGATCATAAGGACTCTGACCTCATTAATGGATTAATCCATTGAAGGATTTGCATTGATGGCATTATTGGCAGGTGGTAGAAAATGCAGGCAGTGGGACCTACTTGGAGGAAGGAGGCAACTGGGGATATGTGCTGATCCCTTCTTCCCGCTCTTTCTCTCTGCTTCCTGGCTCCCGTGTGCTGAGCAGCTTTGCTCTGCCACCCATTCTGCCATGATGTCCTGCCTCACCTCAGGCACAAAGTAAAGGAGCCAGCTGACAATGGACTGAAACCTCTGAAATGATGAGCCAAAAGGAAACTTTCCTCCTTTAAGTTATTTTTATCTGACATTTTTGTCACAGAGGCAGAAAGCTAACTAACACATCATCCATC